TCAGGTTATTTTAACGTTTATTCCACATAAAGTCTACCTTTTCTTTTAATTTCGTTTTGTAGCCTATCCATCCTCATTTTAAATTACGCCTCAAACTTCTTGACAGTGACTGGCCAATTTAACTACTATATGAGATGTTAACATCTCATATTTATGTAATGTCAAAAAAACAATTATATCTGTAAGTCTGTAACAATTATAAGATGTCCAGATTCAGTAAAATAAGGTCATGTTCAATTTTCAGTTTTTCACACGGTAATAATTAAATAGTTACAGATTCGGTAGAGTTATATCTCATAAACAATGGCAAAATAAACTACAGCTCTAGAATCAAGTCCTTAATTAAAATTCAATATTATATGGCTGACTATCTCCAACGAACAAGTCAAATTCCACTGTACGTTTAGTTTATTCCAATATTAACCTTCTATGAAATTACTATTGGCAAACAAATAATTGGTTAATAAATATCTATATTCCACTTGAACACTTCCACATTTGAGCGAATAAATTAAATTTTGACAAGGCTATTTATGGGGATTTATTTNAGAAAAATTACACTTGAACAATCTATATATATATAAAGAGGAGGAACATAGCATTTAATTATATTGTCATGCATTAAATTTTATTATTCCTTCAAAATTTTCAACATTCAATTTCATTTTTAAGTTACAAAATAACTTGCTTGAATGCCATAAACTATGAGCATAAACCAATCAAGAGAGTTACAAAATTGTACTCAAATTTTAAGTCACACACACTCATGAAAATGGTCAAATGTATTAGCATAAAGAAAATGGTTGTAACGGCTCTTCCGTAGCAATTACTTGATCAAAATTAATTTTGAGAATTATTTTCTTAATTCATATTTTTTCATGAATTAAATTATGATTTATTTTTATTTTTATTTTTATATTGTTAACTTTTTAAAATATTCTTTTCTGTGCAAATGCAAAGGTTGATTACTAATTCTTTAAAAAACCAAGTAAAAGATCATGATGTATTTGCATTAATTTTCGCTCGTGTAAATATTTAAATATCATGGACTTAGCCATGGCTTTCAATCATTGCGAGCTTTTACTTTTATTCAGTACTACGGTTACGGAGCCAAATTTTAAATAGTAGAAAATAAAGAACATTAATTGNAAAAAATGAAGAATTACCAAAAATGTTAGTTGGGTCAGATGATTTTTCGAGCCAAGACGGTAGACCTGACCTAAAATGCTTATTACAGGCTTGCATACCTTTTTAGTTTTACACTGTCTTTCAATTTTCAAACATTGAAATAATTACATGAGAATAACAACGATAGGAATTAGAACTAACAAAGACATAGTACGAAAAGGAAAACATATTATTAAAAACATAATAATGGATGCTTTTTATCATATTTGATATCCCTTTTCACAATAATAAAATGCATTAAGAGAAAGCAAATAAAAAACGTTGACTAATTACAACAAAAAAATGGGTCAAACTGGCCATTGATCGTTTTTTTTTTAAGGCAGTTTTGCCCGATGGGCGAACATAGCCGTTCTGATGATCAATCTGAATAGAGTCGACTAATAAAACCGAACTGTCGCTAATGAATTTAAATAGTTGTCATAAAAAACGGGTTGAATTAAATTGGTGATAACAAGTCAGTTGGAATGAACAAATTGCAAGCAAATTAATCAAAAACTTATCGTTGATCGATTGAATTGGCCAATCCAGCGAAAAAACAAATCCATAAGGGTGTGATTGTTTATCAACTCAACCCAAAAAATAAAATCAATCAAAATTCAAATTTAACTCAACCTCACTATCTCCAATATTATAAATATAATTAAATAATATCAACCAATCATTCTTGTACATTAGATTAATTTTAATTCACTATTCATACACTCACATAATTTTAACTAACCATCACTTCTAATCATTTTTCTCCTACTTTTACATCAAATTAACTCTAACTATTTTATTTTAAATAATATTTTAATTTAAACTTAAATATCCACTAACATCTAACCATACTATTTTTTTCTTTTCAAAATTAAGTATAATTAAAAATAAACCAATTAAAAACTAGTTCAATCCATATCCAAATGACACCCTAAGATTTTGAGAAGTTTAATTTAAACCAAGGATAATTATTGGAAGGTCCACTTGGAGGACTCGTGGATTTTTAATTTTAACTTGAGCGGGTAGCTTTATACCCCGGAGGCTTTATTAGTCAATTCAACACCACAACGTAATTACAACATAGAAACCCAAAGCTTCGTACGTTCTCATTGAGACCCTCGTTGTATTTACTATTTAGCTCTTTTCTTTGTTTGATCATTGGAGAAAATCACTTATTTTTAAAGAGAGAGAAAAACACTTATTTTAAAGAGACAGAAACATACAAATGTTGGGACTAATTGGATTTTGATCTCAAAACCGACACTTTATTGGATTTTTACAATTGGATCAAACATACACACTCATACGAGTGTGTGTCGATCTACTGATTAAAAATTCAATAATGACAATGTTTGTAGAATCGGATTTTTGCACGGCTTTATCTACACCACCCCACTCCAAATATAATTTTTTTTTTCAAAAACAAAAATCAGAAAGAGAGAGAGTGAGGAAAAAAAAAAAGAAAAGAAAGAAGAAAAAAAGGAGGTTTGTTTATTTTTTCCTTTACAAAAAGTCGTCTTTATTTTGCAGAAAAATATGGGAACCTCAACATAGTCTTTGTCTTTTGCCTCTTTTGCATTCAATTCCCCTTCTTCATTTCTATCCTCTCACCCCACCATAACCGACTGAACCCTCTTTCTCTCTCTAAAAAAACCCTTTTCTCTCTCTCTCTCTCTACTTCCTAACACCCGTTTTTGTATATATGCATATAAATATCGATTAACCACCGTGTATTCCCTCGAAAAAAAAAAAGTGTTAAAGTGAGGGAAAATATGGAGAAGGCGGTTTCGTTGAAATTGATGACGACTCTTGAGAGCTATCAAAAGAATACGAGGAACAAACCTTACTTTTCATCCTTGTAGCTTATAACCCTCAATTTTGGTACTCTCATGGCCTCAAACAATAAGTTCAGCAGCAGTAACAACGACAACAACAAAGAAATGGATCGTCATCATTATCAGATGCAACATACGCAAATCACTCATCATCATCAAAATAATGATAATAATAGTAATAACAATCAGATAGCATTCGGGATGATGCAGTCATCCTCGTCATCAACCATTCCCGGAAGTTTCAACATGTAAGATTTTATTTTCTTTCATCTTTTTTTTTTTTCTAAGGATCTCTTGTAAAAAAATTCCACAAGTAGTGTTGTTGACTTAGTATTATATGTTATGCAGAAACAGCGATGGTGGAGCTTACGATTTAGGTGAACTTGACCAGGCTCTCTTTTTATATCTAGATGGCCAAGATCATCCGTCAACTCAAGATGACAAACGTAAAAATCTTTTAATTTCTCTCGAGCAAAATTATTGTTATTATTTTCTTATTTAATTTACGCTATTCTAAATGTTATTAGTGAATTTTTTCAGTTTAAGGTCGAAAATCTGAATTAGTATTTTCTTTACTATCTTAAAAAGCTGAAAATAACACTTTTTGTTTTAAGAGTCGACTTTAATGATTTTCTGTTGAGATTCTCCTGGGGAAAGAGTTGTCCGGAGGGTCATGAAGAAAGTATGCTGCAAAGGACACTAATCAATTTGTTGATTTTCGTACTGTTCCTTTGACCAGCTGATATTTTTCTCAGAACAATTTTCCCTCCTCAAAATCAATAATAATAAAAAGAAAAATATTCTGCCTATTTGATTCCAAAAAAAGGTTTCTCGTGTTCTGCAAAACTGGGACCACGACATTCAACAAACTTCTGTTACATGAATTTCATTCGAAAATCATTTTTTTTTTTGTTTTTTTGGGTACTATTAAAAAGTTAGCTCGAAATAATTCTAATTTCACCACTCTTATTATAGAAACTAATAAAAAATACTTGCTATTTCCTAAAAAATAATTTGTGCTGCAGAAAACACAGGGATGAGGCCACACACACTGAACATTTTCCCTTCACAGCCCATGCATGTGGAGCCATTTGCACCAACAACAACATCAAAGGTAATGATTTGAATTCATATACATGTTTCATATTATTTAATTATCCTTATCTTAAATAAAAAATGAATTAACATGTTCATTAAATTAATTAAATTTAAAATACGTGTTCGGTAGCCGAATAGTACAGGAGTAGTTTCTCCAGCTACCAGCGGATCCAAGAGATCATCTGAGCCGTCCAACCCTAGGAAAGATGCTGCTACCATACCCGAACCGGCCAAAGCAGTTAAGGTTAGAACATAAATTATTACATTTGTTAGGATATAAATATAATAATAATAATATAGATTAAAACTCAAGATTATTCTTCTTTGAACTGAGATTTTGTACATTTCCTTTTCTTAATTTTTCCTTTTTCTTTTTAAATAAATCCATTTTATTATTTTATTCCGGCAGCGCGAAGGAAACCAGAGAGGGCCCACCTCAAGCTCGGAGCATGATGGACCAAAAACACCGGATCCAAAGGTACTTTTATCTTCTTTTTTTTTTCATCAAATTCANAGACAAACACGCTTGCTAATGTTTTTCGTGAATCTACAGACACTGAGAAGGCTTGCTCAGAATAGAGAAGCAGCTAGGAAAAGCAGGCTTAGGAAAAAGGTAAGCCCCCAAGAAATTAAAATGATTAATTAATCAATCATTTACATAAATATTATTATTTAAAATGATTAATTAATCAATCATTTACATAAATATTATTATTCATTAATTAATTTTTTTTCTCTAATCAAATTAATTATAATTTCATTGTTAATTGATGGCAGGCTTATGTCCAGCAGCTAGAGTCAAGTAGGGTCAGGCTTACACAGTTGGAGCAAGAAATACAAAGAGCAAGATCCCAAGTGAGATATTAATTAATTAATAATTAACACATAATCTTGTTTGTCCACTTCGATACCAAATAATTAACATATGTCATATTTTTGTTTGTATTGTTTTTTAAAAAAATACGTATATATGTTGAATGTGTACGACTGCTTAACCATTAGACCGTCTAACAGAAGACTTATCTAACAATTAATTATCTCAATAGCAAATCATAATTAACTAATATCAATGATTGATAATCATTAACTCCAATTAATTATTATGTCCTCTTGTTAGGGATTCTACTTAGGAGGCAATGCCATTGTTGCAGGAGATCAGGGCCCTTCTGTTTCCATGGCCAACACAAGCTCAGGTGAATATTTTGACTAATTAATTAAACATTTTGACTAATCATGCATTTTGATCATCATGAGCTGATTAATTATAATAAATTGAACAATTCAATTAATTAAATCAGATGCAGCGGTGTTTGACATGGAGTATGCTCGGTGGCTGGAGGAGCACCACCGCCTTATGGTGGAGCTCCGGAATGCGGTTAACGAGCACCTGCCGGAAAACGAGCTGCGTGTTTTCGTGGACAACTGTTTGGCGCACTATGATCAGATGATTAGCCTCAAGTGCATGATTGCGAAATCCGATGTTTTCCACCTTGTCTCCGGATCGTGGAAGACACCGGCCGAACGATGTTACATGTGGATGGGCGATTTCCGGCCATCCGAACTCATCAAGGTTTGTATGTATATATATATATATATAATAATAATAATAATAATAATAATAATAATAATAATAATAATAATATCATATTGTAAGTTAATCATTCCACAATGAGAAAAATGTTCCCAAAAAATGGTGTTTCTATTAAGAGGTGATCAACAGAGAAAACTAGTATTCATGCAGAAGAAAAACCCTAGGTGGTATGAATTAATTAATGCCTAAGTAATTTTCTTTTCATTTTTTTTATTTCATAGTAGTAAGAAAATTTAGCTAGATTGATCGCTCTTAAAAAACACATTCTACCAAACTAAGCTTATTCAAACTAAGCTTATTTGAATGCAGAAAAATTTATAAACGCTAACTAAATAAACTATAAATTTAGCTTATACTGCTTACGAAACACACTCTTAAAGCTGCATAAGCACAAGTAACCAATGGTTATTATCAAAAGATTACTTGATGTTCATGTACAATGTGTGTGATCTGAGTAGAAACAGAGAATGACGAAATAGGCTTCATGGGCTTTTTGCCAGTTATAGACTACTTATGGGTTCTATTCCCAAGCAGGCCATAAAGCCCATGTCTGTTACTGCTTGTTCTGGAGGACTTACTATCTGTTGTGTTTTCATCATTATCAAACTTGCACGCCTTATTCATGCCTTCCCTTGTATTCAATATTTCACCCTTCATTTTTGTATTTTATAAAAAAGTAAATAAATAAATAGACAAATAAAGTTTGCTTACATCAAGAAATTCAGAATTAATGAAGAAGTTAAAGATATGTAAACTAATAACACTAAATTGATTCACCGAACATGATCAAACTGCAGATTATACTGAACCAAGTTGAGCCATTAACCGAGCAACAATTGATTGCCATATGTGGTTTGCAACAGTCGACTCACGAGGCAGAAGAGGCTCTAACACAAGAGCTTGATTCTCTCAACCAATCGATCTCAGAAACTATAGCTTCCGACTCACTAAGTGTTGCACCCAACATGAACAATTACATGTCTCAAATGGCCATCGCCATCAATAAGCTCTCCACCCTTGAAGGTTTCGTTCGACAGGTAATTAGTTATGTTTTTCTTTTTTTACATGCATATTATTGTCATCAATACTAAATTTATAACATAAACAGGATTGAGTCATGTCTATATAATAAATTAACATTTGGTTGTTTTTGTCTGCATGACTCACACTTTTAAAATAGTAAAAGTTTACCACACCTTTCATAGATTTTCATGTTCAATTATAATAACTTGGATGTGTGTGCTAGATTGCTAGAGGAATGAATCCAATTCATGTTTTATTCTGTTGGATGAATAAGGTGTGGTTATGATATACTGTTTTAAGTCTAAGCTTATTAATCATCTAATGAAATGAAAGAGAAATTTGAATCGTGATTTTGAACCAGAAATTTTTTTTTGTACATAAGGTACCATATTTTTGTGCCTTTATATGTAAGGTTTGGTGGGGGTAAGATGTTTCCAAATTCCAGCATGGTTCATCATGTGCATGACGTCATTGTCCTAACCGCTTTGAACTACACTTCATATAGTAATACACAAGTATTTCATATACCATTTGGTTGGTGATCTAAATTCATCTTAATTATTTTCGTATTTTTCCAGAAGCTAATGGTCAAGATAAACATCCAAACCTCTTGATTGAAAACGATCTGTTGGTTAATTATATATATAAATTAATTGAATTATTTGATACGTATCTAATATTGTACAAATATATATCACTCGTACATGTACATTTCAAATAATCAAATTAACCAATATAAAATATCCAATGTCTCAGCTGCCGGCCTATTATTATATTCCATCAAATAATTTAACCATGTCAACGTAGAAAATATTAAAAAAAAAATTTGCCGGCCTACTATTATATAATAGCTGAAAATTTGAAAAATAAAAAAATGCATTAGTAGATAATATTGATTTTAGTAAAATCCCCATATAAGTCAACATGCATGTATCTTGATTCTTGACGGGTGGAATCCTAATAGATAATATTTCTTTTACTTTCTCAAATAATTATTTATCTCTAGGCAAATATATTAGTAATTAATTGAGTAGTGTTTAAATGTGTACACAGGCAGATAATCTGAGGCATCAAACCCTGCACCGGCTACACCAAATCCTGACCACCCGCCAGGCGGCGCGGTGTTTTCTGGCGGTGGCTGAGTATTTCCACCGCCTCCGAGTCCTCAGCTCTCTCTGGCTTGCCCGGCCGCGTCAAGAATAGAAGAAAAATTGGACTTATACAAAATGTATTTTCGGTTTGACATAATTTAGAAATTTTCTGTAATGAATTATAAAGAGCCCAAAAAAAAGTTTAATTTAGTTATAAGTAGTTTTATTTATTTATTTATTTAATTTTTTTTTTTTTTTTTTTTT